GCGAAGATCGACCACCACCAACCTTCTTGAATTGTCATCTATTGTAATAAATGGGTTTCAGAAAAAAAAGCAGACTGACGTTATATATAAAGATTTTAGTAAGGCCTTTGACTCAGTCAACCACTCTCTTCTCTTATTCAAATTAGATCTGCTTGAGTTTCCTGGTATACTATTAACTTGGATTTCAAGTTACTTGGATGGTAGGACTCAGAGGGTTATATTCATGAATTCTGTTTCAAAATTGATCTACGTGACATCTGGAGTCCCTCAGGGAAGTCATCTGGGCCCTTTGCTGTTTACTTTGTTTATCAACGATCTTCCCTCTATCATAACACATTCTCGTGTAATAATGTATGCTGATGATGTTAAGCTTTGATATAGCGTCGGGATGTAACTTACAGTCAGATATTGATTGTTTTCATGAATGGTGTAAGTACAACCTTATAAAGTTGAACTACCTTAAATGCAACGTTATGACTTTTTATAGGGGTACTCCTACGTTTATCAGTTACTTTCTTAAAAATACGCCACTCGAACGTATATATTCAGTTAACGATTTAGGTGTTCTTCTGGACCCTAAACTTCAATTTGAACCATGAGTGTTCTTGGGTTTATAAAGCGTTGGTCAAAATAATTTGATGACCCTTATACGACCAAATTATTATTTACCTTCCTTGTCCGTCCTATTTTGGAATATTGTTCGTCGGTTTGGAGTCCACAATATCAAGTGCACATTGACCGTATTGAGTCGGTACAAAAAAATTTCTTCTATTTGTCCTTCGTAGTTTGAAATGGGATCAAAACGTAAGGTTACCATCCAGAGTAGATTAATTTACCCACACTTGTAAATCGTAGAACATTGCTTGGTACTATTTTTATGCAAAATCTTATAAAAGGTGACATTGATTCTGCAGAACTTGTAAACCGCCTAACTTTCAATGTTCCTGTTAGACTAACACGAAATTATATTCCTCTAAATTTGCCACGATGTACATAAAATTTTTGTCTGCACGAGCCCTTTCGCGTTCTATGTAATTATTATAACAACCATTATCATCTAATTTGCATTTCAACTTCTATCCCGTTATTAAAAACTAATATTTTAACTCATTTGCTTTTCTCTTAATTGTGCCTTTTATTTTCACTTGTGTCTTGTCTCTATTTTATTTATGTATTTTCCTCGCGAACTCGCATTTTTTGCCCAAATTGATAAGTAACAAGCACGTGCTTGGTGTCGTTGGGCCACTTGTTTGTACTGCTCGTAGTGCATCAAGGTTCATCAGAATAATACTGGCTGATATAAAAGGACCCGAAACAGTTTTATAACCTCGTTAACACCAAGCGTAGGTCTAATTTTTATCCTTCCTGGACATGACGGCGATAACCGATTTATATGCCCAATTTTTTTTATTCTGTCCCAGTTTAACTGAAAGCTCTCTTCTTTTTGATCTTCTTCGTGTTCAGCCTGTTTCATTGCCAGCGCACGAGGGTATTCCTGGGTGCGTGCTTACGAATTGTTTATCTTATCTTTAGAAACTTCCCAATTTCCACATACAGTAGAATCCAGTTATAGCGACTTTCAAGGACCAACGATTTTACGTCGTTATACCCGGAAGACGCACTAACCACATAAGTTTGTATCATATAAGTTTGTATGGGGCCAAGCAAGACATCGAGTTTTCGTCGCAATAACCGGACGGACACTATAAGCGGAGTCGTTATAACCGGATTCTCTTTACAAAGAAGGTAACAAGTCATAGGCCAGTAACTATAAAGTTATATCTTAGTTGTCAGCTATTCCTAAGATTTTTTATAAATTTATTACTTATTACATTATTACATTACTGCATTTGCAGCACCTTTTTTAGCTCACTTCATTTATGATAAAAGGCTTCAAAAATGGCTTTCAAACAGAGTCAGTTATCTGAGTGGCTTGACACCCTGTTACTTCCGATGTCCCACAAGGAAGCCATCTGGGTCAAGTGACAGCTCTATGGATACTGCGAGCTTAGATACTGCGCTGAAACCTCTGCACAAATTGTTTACCTTATCTTTGGAAACTTCTCACTTTCCACTTATATGGAAGGAGTCATTTGTTATTCTCCTTCATAAGAAAGGAAATAAACGGAATGAAATATAGGATAGAGGATATCCAAATTATCCGCCATCCCAAAGCATTTCGAAAACGATTTTACACGCCACTTGCATCATCTTAGTAGTTCAATTATATCTCCATGTCAACATTTATTTATAAGGCGAGATCTACGACGACAAACCTCTTGGCGCTAACGTCTTTTCTAATACATTTTTTTTTCTTTGTAATATATCCTATTTTTATTGAATCTTCTCGATATCAGACTAACAATAAGTATATCAAATCTTAAGAATATAACTTAACTTACAGTCATGTAGACTGAATTTAGACTAACGGGCCCTAATATTTATTGCTGGGCTGGTAGATTGTTACGACGCAGACGAGTTCTGTTCGAAACCCGTGTTAGGATCTTGCGAGATTATTTGGGTGCAGTGTAAGCTTGTTATGGTAGGCCGCTTTCTGCTTTGCTATTTCATCTTCGACCGGTGGTATGCCCAGATCCTATGGATCTGGACGTATTCAGCCTCTCGCTCGTAGGGATGTCTGCTGTGTATAGGACAAACAGGGTAGGGCCCAGTGCGCTACCTTGTGGGACTCCGGCTTCAATGTTATATTCGTTGGATGTCGTTGTATGGTATCTCACCTCAAAGACTCTGTGGTAACGGTAGGCCTTAAGTAACTTATGGGTGTTTTCTGGCAGTAATGATGATATGATTTTATGCATAAGGCCTTTAAGCCACACTCGGTCGAATGTCTGAGAGACGTCGAGGAATATCGCACTACAATATTTCCGAATTTCTGAAGTTATCCGGTTGACTTGCTCGATGGTTCCGTGGCTTTCACCCGAATTGATGTGCCGGGATTAAGTTTTGTTCTCTTAAATATGGTGTAATGCGCGTGAGCAGGCATATTTCTAGTAATTTGGACAGGCATGATAGTAACATTTATTATTCGATAGTACATCGACAGTTTCTCGATGTACGGGCTCTGCGCAAGCTTCTCTTCTTGCTTGAGGGTTTTGGTGAGTCTGCGGGTGGCTTCATTATAGAGTGGTTTCGAATGGGGCGATCTGCAGGATTGCCAAGCGAGTCGTAGACGTGGTTTTTCCCGAACCAGTTGTTCGATTTGCAGATTAGTTTTGTATTGGTTGCTACGCACGATTGTCTCTTCTGGGGTTGAGATTTTGGCTGCTGCCACGAGTACTGACTCCAGGGCATCAGCACAGAAGTCGATGTCGTTCTCTATGTATAACTGTGGTGTTAGTTCAATGTGGGAACTTACGTACTTTTTGTACTTTAGCCAGTTAGTTCGAGTCGAGGTCAGCCTGAATGGGTGCTCGATTACTTTCGGGTTTTGAAGGAGAATTATTAAAACAGGCGAGTGGTCCGATGATAAGTCCGATAGCGATTTGGCGCTTACTAAATTTCTTGGGATGTTCTTGGTCACAGCGAAGTCAATTAAGTCCGGGAGTTTTCTGGGGTAAGCTTGCCAATATGTGGAGCTGCCAGGGGAGACATAGTCGAGTTTGTTGCTCAAATTTATAATTGCTTTATACAGTTGTCTTCCCTTGGGGTCACGAGTCTTAGTCACCAGTGCGTGTGCTTGGCGTTGTAGTCTCCTCCTGCTATAAAGCGATCTCCGAGTGAATTGTATAAGTCCAAGAATTGCTCTTCAGTTATTGTAAAACGCGGTGGGCAATAGACAGCGGCAGCTTATAGCTGTAGCCTGCAAATAATTTGTTGCAAGCCTCTGGTGAAAGTGATGCTTAATGCGTTCCCTGATTAAGATTCCAGTTCCTCCGTGAGCCTGACCGTCCGGATGATCTGTGCAGTATGAAGTATTTGAAAGTTGTATTTACTTGTGAGATGCGTTTTTGCCAGCAGCATTACATCTATTTGGTTTTCATTGAGGAATTGAGTTATTTCAAGTTTGTGCCGTGAAACGCCATTGACATTCCACATGGATATTCGAAGACAAGACATCGATTATTTAGATTGTTGGGATGTGAGCAAATTTATTAAAATGTTTTGATTTTGCATAAGGTTTGTCATTGTTGTTTTCATAAAGGACATAGATTTCCCTGTTGTAAAGTCAGCATCATGATTTCCATGCTGCTGGGTATTTTTCCTGTTGCTTAAATTTATAATTGCTTTTTACAGTTGTCTTTCTTTGGGGGTTTTGTAATAAATGGCTACAGAAGAACATGCAGGCTGACGTAGCTAACACTGATTTTAGTAAAGCATGAATCACTCGCTTGATTTCCTTATGATCTTTTAACATGGATCTAAAGGTATCTATGTGGTAGGATTCAACGAGCCTCTTTAAAAGCTCTATCTCTAATTTGATGCGAGTTACTTCAGCCGTCCCACAAGGAAGCTACCTTGGCCCATTTCTTTTTACATTATAACTTGAAGATTGTTTCCTCTAGTCTTGACAAAGTCTTTTATTAATAATTTTATTTACGGGGATGTGAAGAGTCCCGAGTTAATGGTTCGCCTAAACTTATCTGTGCCTAATAGAATTAACAGGAATTATATTCCTCTTACTTTAAATCTTTGTAGATCTAACTATGATATGCCTTGAACCGTAAGACCTGTGGATTTGTAAGACCTGTGGATTTCGACGCAACATTTCTCGTTTCAGAAAGGTTGTCGGTTCGTTCTACCAAATTCTTACTGGGTGATTGCCCAAGACCGAAGAACAACACAAGGGTTAAGATCCTTATTGTTTATTTGTCTCCTTAACTATGGCCTTATCCCTAATTCACTGATATGCTACTGCAGCTTCTTGTCGCTGCCGTCCGCGGTGTTAATTGTGCTATAGTTGTAAAATTTTAATTTTACCATGAAATAATAAGACGCTTACTCCGAAAATTTACATTGAGTAAAAGAAAAATCGCACTTACCATGTTTTCGTATGTTGAAGAACATCTATTAGAGACTGCAGCTGGCTCCGAAAATTATCACTCACTGTACATTTAGATTTAGATGAGCCTCGAGGATAATTTGAATTAACGAATTGCGGATCCTAAAACAGTGATGTTTATATTAACCATCGTCTTAATTCAATACAAAATTTTAGAAAATACAAAACAGTAATTAAAATTATATTTGGAAAAGCTACTAAGCATTATGATTTTACTCTGCACTATGGCTTTTTTAAACACACATCTTTTTGTTTTGATTTTGCCTTTTTTTACTTTGTTCTAGAAAAAACCCGAAATCACCAAAACACAAAGGCTGAAATGTCCAATCTGGCGCGTATTTATTTGAAATCTCAATTTCTAAATTACGCCGAGCATTTACAATAATTCAGCATTTATTAAGCATTAAGTGCCACCAAAATTCTTTGTTAAGACCAGAATTTTTTTTCAACTCGATTTTGCAGTCCAATTAAAAGAGCGATTACACTCAATTTAGAGTGAAAGTAGCATATAGTATATAGAGCACCAAATATCCAAGTTTAAACCAATTGTTGACACTATGTAATGTAAATCAAAGCAACAAATGTAAATGAGATTATCTCTCCTGTATGCCCAACATCATAAAGAAATAGGAATCATATGTCAAAGCTTAAATACCTTATATACCTTTATCAAACTTAATCGAACATTTTTTTACTTTTTTTTTCCCGCGGAGTCCCACGGCCCACTTACCCGCCCAACCGACCGAGGGGCCCAGCCGTGTATCGTACGGCACGATTCGCGAGATGATAGACGCGAGATAAGAAAATATAGGTAAAAGTCCCAGAAAAAAGTAATAGTAAGATCAATTTTGAGCCAATGAAGCCAGTATTATTCGTTTTAGGAGAGAGTCAAGATTTGAGATTATAGGAAAAAGTCTATTATAGTCAGAACATAATACTCTAAAAGGCTCATGCAAGGCATAGTTAGATCTACAATGATTTAAAATTAGGGGAATATAATTTCTAGTTAATCTAGTTGGCTCAAAAAAGTTTAACCGACTTACCAAGTCGGGGCAGTCAATAACACCATGTATAAGGTTATAAAAGAAGACAGCATCGTTCTACGGTTGGCAAGTAAGAGTAAATTATTCAACAGAAGTCTACTAGGATAAGAAGGTAAGTTAAGATTTGCATCCTAGTTTAGGCGCCGAAAAGCAAGTTTTTTTGTACTGATTCAATACGACCAATATGAATCCGTATTGTGGACTCCAGACAGGAGACCCAAACATAAGTACACGAATGACTTATAATTGAGGGAAGATCGTTAATAAGTAATGTAAAAATAAGCGGACTAAGATCGGTCCCTTGTGAGACACCGGAGGTAACAGGGAGAATTTTAGAAATGGAATTTTTAAAAAGGACTCTTTGTGACCTGCCATTCAGGTAACTTGAGATAAACTGGATAACCTAACAGGTCAAGTTCTTAAACAAGAAGTGAGTGATTTACAGAGTCAAATGTTTTACTAAAGTCAGTGTAAATGAGATTTGAGCAGTAGATAGAAAGTTAGAGCGCTCCTAGCCGCGCGCCTCGTCCCAGCCCCAAACCCAAACTTGAAACTTTAAACGCGAATATCTCGAAATTGTGTTTTTTGCAAAATGACTTTGCGATGATATGGAATGGCGAAAAACTACTGAACCGATTCTCATCGAATTTTTTTTAAATGTTCGTTATTAATTTTGTTTGTACTTGAACAATCGATTTTTCATGCACAAATTTTTATTTCGCCGAAATGGATTTTTTTATAAAGCCTCTAGCGACCGAAAAATTAATTTTTTGCATAAAACGTTTCCGTATGCACATCGTTCAAACTTCAAACTTTAAACGCGAATATCTCGAAATGGTGTTTTTTGCAAAATGACTTTGCGATAATATGGAATGGCGAAAAACTACTGAACCGATTCTCATCGAATTTTTTTTAAATGTTCGTTATTAATTTTGTTTGTACTTGAACAATCGATTTTTCATGCACAAATTTTTATTTCGCCGAAATGGATTTTTTTGTAAAGCCTCTAGCGACCGAAAAATTAATTTTTTGCATAAAACGTTTCCGTATGCACATCGTTCAGATACACGGAATTACTCTAAGTTAATGAATTTTTTTATTTTTTCGGTATCATTTGACCTGTTTAAGGGAAACAGCTACCCCTTAAAAACTATTCAACATTTTTCCACAAATTTTTGCACAACATTGTCAATAAACTGAACTTTCAGAAAATTAAATCATTCACGTAATTAAAAAAAATTGGCATTGATCGATGGAGGTGTACACCGACATACTGCGCAAATAAATTTGGCGTTTGGTGCTTGGACAGCGGCTGTACAGGGAACATTAGTTCAAAAACAAATCTATTTGGAAAGAATACTTTACATTTGGCCAACGACGACACGACAAATATATGTGGTGTGGGTGAAATAAAAATAGCAGGGGACGACAAGGGAAAAAAAAAAAAAATTTTCTCACAGACGTGCTTTACGTTCCCGATCTCAGGCAGAGATCAATATCAAGGATTACGGATAAGGGATACGAGGTACACTTCAGGAAAGACGAGACCGAAAGCTAAGTGAGCAGCGGCGGTGCAGTGAGTCACCTAAACATTCCGACTACTCGGATTGCAACATAGCCTGGTTGCTCTTCTCACGGCTTGTGGCTGGCTTTGGACACTACCCACCCAAACACGGTGCTCTGGGCCACCGGTAGTCCATCCTGTATTTCAAAGAAGCCCGGCCGCATCACGCTCGGATACATATCCGCGCACAGGAAGATGGATATCGTCGCGGGGAGGTAGAAACGCTCGTCAGCCAGCGTAATATCCCGGAAGTGGTTTGGAGTGCGGATGCCTGATGTTCGTGCCCATCGATGTTTTCGATGTTTTCAAAAAAAACATCGAGTTAAACATCGATGTTTTAAAAAAAAAAAAGAAAAGGCAAAACAGTACAAACGATAACAATGAGATTTATTTGAGATCATTTAAAGTGTCTATTTTTGTTGAGGAAAACAAGTTGATCAACAACTTCAGGTTTAAGCCTTGTTCTGCGATCAGATACAGTTTGTCCAGCTTTGCTGAACACCCTTTCAGACTCACAGGACGAGGCTTGTACACAGAAATATTTTATTGCAACCAATTTTAATTCGTTGTCATCAGTCATCTGTAAAAAGTATTTCATATTTAACATGTTTGTCATAATTATTTGAAAATCATACCTCCCAATACTTTAAGGGGTCGCAAGTTTCAGGAGTGTTTTCCTTTTCCATAAATTGCCTTGTGGCAATAATGGCATCAGCTCGGGTGGACTTCACTTTTGATTTGTTTTGCAAACATGAAAATGTGCATTTTGGCTCGTTTGACGTTGGTTCTGGTGGTGTTGGTGGACATCGATGGTGGTCACGAACCATTGATGGTTTCGATGTTTTGAAAACAAAGATGTTATCGATGTTTCACTCGATGTTTCTGCACCCCTATCTTAGACCCCACTGTTGCCGAACAAATCTGTTCGCCTCCAATGTTGGTAGTCGGCAAACGGAAACTCGTCGCTAGCGAAGCTTCGATGCAGCTCGCAGGCGTAAAATGGTCGATAAGCGCAGCAGTGTCGAAGCAGTCGCTGTGCCGCTGCAGGAGGGACGTTAGGGAAGGAGCGGCGACCGCGGTCTGCGCGGCACCACCACGAGTGGCATAAAATTGGTGAGAAACGGCTGAAAAATGCCGCGCAGTGGCGGACGGAGCCGAGGAGCGGCTGAAGAATGCCGTAGAGTAGCGGACGAGGGCCGAGGAGCGGCTGAAGAGTGCTGTGGAGGGGCAACGGAGCTCTACGACCGGCGTGCCGCCGGGCGGGACTGGCTTTTTTTTTTTTTTTTTCGCGCGGAGTCCCACGGCCCACTTACCCGCCCAACCGACCGAGGGGCGCAGCCGTGTATCGTACGGCACGATTCGCGATAAGATAGACGCGAGATAGGAAAATAAAGGTAAAGGTCCGGGGAAAAAAGTAATAGTTAGATCAATCTTGTGCCAATGAAGCAAGTATCAATCGTTTTAGGAGCGGCAGAGAGTCAAGATTTGATATTACAGGAAAAAGTCTATTATAGTCAGAACATAATACTCTGAAAGGCTCATGCAAGGCATAGTTAGATCTACAATGATTTAAAAATAGGGGAAAATAATTTCTAGTTAATCTACTTGGCACAGAAAAGTTTAGCCGACTTAACAAGTCGGGGCAGTCAATATCACCGTGTATAAGGTTATAAATAAAGATAGTACCAAGCATCGTTCTACGGTTGGCTAGGGATGGTAAATTAATCAAAAGAAGTCTACTAGAATAAGAAGGTAAGATAAGGTTTGCAACCCAGTTTAGGCGCCGTAAAGCAAAAAGAAGAAAGTTTTTTTGTACAGATTCAATACGACCAATATGTATTCCGTATTGTGGACTCCAGACGGGAGACCCATACTCCAGAATCGGACGGACTAGCGAAATAAATAAAGTTTTAGTCAAATAAGGATCATCGAATTCTTTTGACCACCTTTTAATAAATCCAAGCACTCCTCTGGTTTTATTAACCATGGACGAAATGTGATTAGAAAATTTTAGTTTAGGGTCCAAGAGAACGCCAAGATCGTTTACAAGAGTTATTCTATCCAAAGAGCTGCCACTTAACGTGTAAGTCGCGTATATCGGATTGGCCCGATAAAAAGTCATCAGCTTGCACTTGGAACCGTTTAAATTTAGTAAATTATCTCGGCACCAGATATGAAAAATTTCTAGATCGAATTGCAAGTCTAAATGGCAGGAAATGTCCTTATACTGCAGGCACAACTTAACATCATCTGCGTACATAAGTACGCGAGAATGACTTATAATTGATGGAAGATCGTTAATAAATAATGTAAAAAGTAACGGACCCAGATGTGGGACACCGGAGGTAACAAGGAGAATTTCAGAAATTGAATTTTTAAAAAGGACCCTTTGTGACCTGCCATTTAGATAACTTGAAATCCATTTAAGCAGATCAATTGGAAAACCTAAAAGGTCAAGTTTTTGAATGAGAAGTAAGTGATTTACAGAGTCAAAT